CCACCAATTGGTGCCTCCTCTGGACAGTTACGATCCTGAGAGACCACAGCTAATGACATTTGGTTAGATAGATAACAAAAGCACAGTTCAGCATTATGATGTTATTCAGTGGTGCTATGTATTTTGTAAAAAGCAGTATTCCATTATGTAAAAATTTTAGAATCAGAGAATTCTTTTCAGGGTGAACTGCACAACAGAAATTCGCTGTTGGGAAAGAACAGTTTAAGAGGCGTTAGATGACATCTTGATAATTTCAGATAATGAATACTGAAATTCAGATAATAGGTCTATTGGGAAAAAATGGTGAAAGTAGTCATTATCTGGGGTCTTACTTATGTCTGTTTTTTGCTTATGTATCCATTTCCCGCAAAGAATTCAAAGTTCTCAAAGGCATAGGCTGTATGACTATCTTTTTATACCTAAGCCCAGCGAAGGGCCTTGGAACTGGAGGTACTCTATAAGTATTTCTGAATAAATTTTAAAATTAGTTTATTTATTTATTTATTTTTTTGGTACCAGAAATCAACCTCGTGACCTTGCACTTGCCACACAGGTGCTGTAAAATTAATTTAATTAACACCCTATATTTCAGTTCAAAGCTTTCGCGACATTTGGGCTTCTTATTATGAAATGCAAAATTATGGCAAACAATTTCATTGCAAAAAGTAATAGCCAACGTGGATTATTTACTGTAAAACAACTCTCCATATGTAAAAAGACTTGGAGTATAAGCTACGAATTTGGAAGACTGTGTTGGAAGAGAGTGCCAGTAATACATGGTTGTGTCGGGATGCGATACCAACGACACACAGGACAGTGTGCACTTGTGTTGGGAATGGAAAGGTGCATACGATGGCTGGTTTTGAATAAAGCACACGATGTGTTTAAGCAAAGCGTGGGCCTTGAGACCTCTGGGAAGGATAGTGAAGGATCTGGACATGTGTACTTTCCTATATATTGAGGAGGTTTGGCTAGATGGCAGTCCGCACCTTCCTATAAAGGGCCGGATAATAAATATTGCAGGCCTTGAGGGCCACAAGGCTTCCATAACAGTTCATCAGCTCCGCCTTCATGGATGAAAGGAGCTGCAGGAGTGGGTGAGTTCATAACATGGCTCGGCAGTAATAGAATTTGACTTGGCAGACAGGAAGTAGAGAGAAGATCGAATAACGCCCCCAGTTACCAGTTCTTAAAAACATTATAAGATAAATACTAATTTGTTTCATTTATACTATTAGTTTCTTTTGTTCACTGAAAAGAGTTTTGTCCTTTTGTTTGTTTCTTCTTCCTAAGAGAGAATCTCTTTTTGTCTATGACTTATATAGACTCTGAGTAACACTTTGGCCATCCTTTTAAGATCATGATACAAGGTACATAAACCACTGCTATTCTCTAATTATTTTGTCATGAAAATTTATTTTGTTTTTTTCATAGAAGAGGTGTTCTGATACTTACTTTATTCATATCTACTTGTAGTACATTAAAATTAAAAAAGAAACGTACAGGGGACCAGATTTGGCCTGTTGGCCATGGTTTGCAATCCCTAAACGAGAAGATACCTCGTTCAGTATTCCACATTCAGTATCCTTTATCTGTAAGTGCTAACATGAGCCAACATAGATTTTCCAAACTCACTGGACATCTGTCAAGAAATGTGACTGATGGTAACATTCACAGGCGTATTTAGTCTTATGGTTCAACTTTTAGCTAAATATGTCCACTTCCTACAGTTTTATGTAGTATCATTATATATATATGAAATATTATGACACTGCTTGATCTAGTATTATGACTAATTTTATAGTAGGTCCAATTTTTTTTTTTTTTTTTTTGTCTTTTTGAGACAAGGTCTGGCTATGCCATTCAGGTTGGCCTTGAGCTCATTTTGCTGGCCTCGAACTTACAACAATCCTCCTGCCTCAGCCTCCTGAGTGCTGGGATTATAAGCGTGCGCCACCATGCCTGGCAGTAGGTCCATTTTTATAGGAATGTACTTGCTTCATTATTAATCCAGTGAGCAACGAGACCCAGCCAAGGTTTAACAATGTAATTTCAGATAGTGATGCATATAAGTAACATTTTGAGATTTCAACAAAAACAGCAATGTGATATGAAAATATGTGATTTTTTAATTTTAATGAAATACAAGTAGATATTAATAAAAATATAAAAAGCACTTTTCTATGGAAAAATAAAATTTCATAAGGAAATAACTAGAGAATTACAATAGTCATATGTCATTATCTTAAAAGAATGGCCAAAGTGTTAATAGATCCACTTCAGGGAGGGTTTTTTTTTTTCATTTCAGGGTTTTTTGTTTTGGTTTTGGTTTTGGTTTTTGAGAGAGAGCCTCACTATGTAGTTCAGGCTGGCTTTAAACTCACTATGTAGCTCAGACTGAAACTGAACTCATGACAGTTTTTCTACCTCAGCTTCCCAAGTGCTGGGATTATAGGCATACACCGCCATGCCCAGATAATAGATCCATTTTTGTGTGTGTATGTTTTTATTTTTTGAGACAGGGTTTCACTATGTAGTTCAGGTTGTCCTTGAACTCATGGCGATCCTCTTGCTTCAGCCTCCTGAATGCTGGGAGATACATTCTTAATAACTATAAATATAATTTAATAAGCATATTCAAACACATATAGAAAACCCCTCAATGGAGCTTTGAGGAAATATAAATGCCTTAAATTTATTCATTTATCTTGCTATCTTGTAGAGGGCAGAGGACCAAAGTGAGTCATGCAAATGTCAGGATATTTATCCAGCACCAGGAAGTTAAACCTGCACAAAACTACATTTCCCTTCTTACCATGTGAGGGTCTCACCTGTAAAATTCCCAGTGTATACTTTTCCCTGATCCTGTTGCAAGGCCACTGAAGGAGGGAAAGGCTTTAAAAAAATTTTTTTGTGTGCTAAAAACAAAAAGGTTTCATTTTCTGCTCGAAGGACAAACACCTGCTTAAGACACAGTCTCGGTAAAAGGGGTTAATGGTGGGAGCCACTGGCACTGCGGCGAAGGGGCGCGGAGGGTATCTTGTTTTCTCTGACAGCTTTGAATGCTGAATTACTTATGACCTGGTAAGAAGCAGGGGTCATTTCCCAGGAAATGGAATCCAAATAAACGTTTCCCAGCTAATGGCATAACTTAAGGAGGCCTGCTCCAGTTTTGGCCTGTGACTCACTATTTTTATGATTTGGGGAATTATTTAGTTCCTTTGAGCCTCAATTTCCTCATCTACAAAATGGGAAGAATAATTCTGTCCTGGGGGCTGTTGGAAGTGCACAGTTATCCGTGTAAAGTGCGGGGTATGTAGTAGGTACTCAATACAGGAGACTTTTATCACGGTGGTCTCCATAGCATTTGGAACAGTAAAAACACTCTCCTGACACTAAAAGGGAAAGAAAAAGGAAAGAGGGCCAGCTCTTTAAAAACAAGGACCACCATCTTTCCATCTCTCAGAGAGAGCATGGTGAGCTGCATGGAGGTGACACTCACAAACTGGCAGAAGGAGAAAGTCTAGCGGAGAGATAAGTGTGCTTATTTACAAGCAGCAGGAAGGTAGTGAAAGGTTTCTTTCCCAGGGCTAGGGATCCCTCAGGGCCAAGTGCATTTCAGTGAAGGCCACAGTTTCTTTTTTTTTTTTTTTTTAATTTTAAAGAGAATAGTAATAATAAAAGAACAATAGCAAAATACCAACAACATAGACAAAAACAAAGCAAAAACAATAAAAATGATAAAGGGTTTCAGAGCAAAGTGATAGGAATTAACACTGGTTGTTATATTATGTATTGTTATCTTCAACAAGGTTGCTGAGATTACCAGATGTAAGAATGCAAGATTGATCAAACCATTAAAGAGAATAAAAAATAAAAACAAAAAAAAACCCCATTAGAAACAATACAGAATTTTACTAGACAAGATGGTAGGAATTCACAAACGGTTGTTATATTGCATATCGTTGTCTTCAAATTATTTGTTCACATTACCAGATATGAGCACGCAAAATTGGTCAAAAAATTAAGCATTAACTGTTCCTTTCAATAAACCATTAGACATCAGCAGTACAGTTGTCCCAGCTATCCTTCTATATACATATGTATTTTTTTTCCTTTCTTCCTTCTTTCTTTTTCTCCTTTCCCTCATCCCAGTTCTTTCCTTTGAGCAGTTTCTTTCCCTTTCATAATACCTATTGTACATTTTGGGTTTTGTTTACTCTTTTGCGTTCTTACACTAGGGAGACAATGCATTGTGTTTACACATGTGGGTCTGATTTTTTTTCACTTATGAGTATGGTCTCTAGTTGCATCCATTTACCTATAAAAGCCTTGAGATTATCTTTTTTATAGCTGAGTAATACTCCATTGTATAGAAATACCACATCTTTTTTATTCATTCCTCAGTTGAGGGACATTTGGGTTGTTTCCAAGATTTAGCTATGACAAATTGCGCTGCTATAAACATGGGTGCACATATGTCGCTGTGGTATGAGGTTTTTAATTCTTCTGGGAAAATACCCAGAAGGAGAACATTTGGATTATGTGGGACTTCTAATCCTAGTTTTTGAGGAATCTCCACACTGATTTCCACAGTGGCTGCACCAGTCTACACTCCCACCAGCAGTGAGAAGGGTTCCTTTTCCCCCACAGCCTCTCCAGCATTTGTTATTGGTTGACTTCTTGATGCTAGCCATTCTTTCCGGGATGAGATGGAATCTCAGTGTTGTCTCAATTTGCATTTCCTGAATGACCGAAGGTGCTGAATTTTTTTCATGTGTTTATTTCCCATTTGTATTTCTTCATCTGAGAAGTGTGCATTCATCTCAGATGCCCATTTTTGGATTGGATCTTTGAATTTTTTTGGGGGGGGGTCTGTTTTTTTTAAATTCTTTATATGTTCTAGAGAGAAGTCCTTTGTCTGAGGGGCAGGTGGCTAAAATATTTCCCCAATTCATGGGTTTTCTTTTCACTCTGTTGGTGATTTTTTGATGTGCAAATACTTTTCAAGAAGAGGAGATCCCAGTTGTTGATTCTTTGAAGTGTTTCCTGCGAAGGCCACAGTTTCTGAGGACAGCTGATCGTGACCCCTGCTACGTACGCCAGCGGCGCCAAGCAGGGTCCGGGGGATTGCGGAGTTTCCCTTCGGGGCTCTCCCGACAGCTGTGCAGCTTTCTCCGGGGCTGCCCGGCCGGCCGCAAACCTCCGCCGGCTCCTGTCATCTGTTTCTCCCGGTGCCTGCTGCCGCCAGAGCTCTGCTTCAAGGCCCCTGCGAGCTGAGGCAGCCGAGGCCCCGGCGCACGGGGCGGAGGCGGGCGCAGCGAGGTCCTGGCCCTGCCACGCCCCAAGCCCCGGGGCGCGCCAGGAGCTCCTCTCCGGGGTGCATGGACAGTGACCATGTGGCTCTTCGCCCAGTCACAGGGTCAGCAGGGAGTCTGTCTGGAAGGGTTGGCCCGATTTTCAGTCTGTGATTCGCCTTCCTGTGTCCGCCCTTCCTGCCCCGGCACTCCCGCTCATGCTGCTGCCCCCCGGATGGAGGGCGGGGGAGCTGCCTTCTCTCACAGAAGGGCGCAGAGATGGGTGCCTGCAAAGCAGCATTGCAGAGAATCCAAAGGCAAGGGCGGGACAGGGGTCAGAGATCATAGATCTACAGGTTCCAAAGTTTAGTCAGCAGGAACGAACTGGGCAGCAGATCACAGTCAACCATCAAAGGTACCGCGTCGGAACAGAAGAGACAACCAGGGAGCAAGGAAGGAGCAAAAGGACCAAGCGCCAGCTTCTCCGGGAGCCCCCGTGGGTCTGCTCCTCACCCTTCTCCCCAGAGAGAAGGCACTGCGTCCTAAGTAGGCACTGCTCCTGGGCAGGCCCTTGCTCAGCCAGATGCATAACAGCATTCATCTCAATAGCCACAGGGTAGAAGCAGCTCAACTGTCCATCAACAGCAAGGGGATAAACAAACTATATGTGCATTTTTTAGGGGCTGTGGAATGTGTCCAAGGGAAGATGGCACATGCACACGGGCACACCCGCGCTCGCGTGCACGCATGCACACACACACAGAGCAATATTGGTGTTGCAGTGGAAGCATTCTGACACTGCTATTATGTGTTTGAACTTTGAAGATATTAGAAAAAGTGTATAAGCCAGTCACACAAGGATAACTACCGTATAATTCCACTTAGGTGCTGCCTGCAGTGGTCCTATTCGTAGAGATAGAAAGTAGAATAGTGGTTGGCAGGGGCTGGCGGGGAGAGGCATAGATGGTTATTTGTAATGAGTGTAGACTTGCAGTTTTGCAGCATGTGATTTATCCAGGTGGACGGCAGTGACGGTTATACAACTCTGTGTGTGCCACTAAACTGTACAGCGAGGATGGCAAAGATGGGAAATTTTTATATATTTTACCCCAATTTTTTAAAATGAGAGGTGGCTTTTGAAGACTATCATTTTTCACAGCAGCAGGCGACTGATTATACATGAATCCTGTACTCAGAGCATTTTTAGTGGGAAATCCAGTGATTCTTTTTTTCAGAGAAAAAAAGTATAAAAACATATTTTTTAGAATTTTTAGAAGCTGGGCATTGTGGTTGGTGAATGCTTGTAATCCCAGCATGCAGGAGGCTGAGGCAGGAGGATCGTTGCGAGTTTGAGGCCAGCCTGGGTTACAAAGTGAATTCAAGACCAGCCTGAACTGCAGAGTGAGACCTTGTCTCAAAAAGACCAAAAAAAATTTTTTTAGGAATTTTTTAAATGAAAGTGTCTTCCACTGGTGAAAAGTCAGCACTTTTCTGCCACAATGATGCTTTCCTGAACAGTGATGAAGAGCCCGCCCAACTACGAGGTGGGCAGGAGAGGGCAAGGTGTGAGGGCGGTGTGTGATGCAGGGCTCAGTGTGCGACGCAGGCTCAGCGTGTGATTCAGGCTCAGCATGTGCAGGAAAAATCTAGAAAGAGAAGGGGAAGGGAGGGGGCTGTTGGACAGAACAAGGAACGGAAAGTGGAAAGTGTGGCCGGAGGCAGAGGGAGAACATGGAGAAAAGGCTTTCTGCTGAGGAAGGCTGTGGACCACAACAGCGAGAATAACGAGGACGTCGAAACTTCCTAACCTGTCAGCAGAAGAGCTCGACAGAGAGGACACTGAGAGTAAAACAAAGCGAGATGGATCTTTTAGTCCCCCAGTGCTGAGCAAAACAAGCCTAGAGAAAGACCCGAGGCACAGACCTACCCTCGGACCTGAGAGGGCCCTGCAGAGTTCTTACCCTCGGACCTGAGAGGGCCCAGAGCTCTGCAGAGGAGGAAGGGCCTCTCCACCCAGGTCTCTGTATAGAACAAACTTCCCGCGCGGCACTCACCTGCAGGGTTTTTAACATAGAGATGTGCCGACACCCGGGGGTTGTTCTGCAGTGGTTTTGGGTGAGACTGGACATCTGCATTTCTGGTAAGTTTCCAGGTGATGCCGAGGCTCCTGGCTTGACAGCCGCACTGAGAACCGTGGCTCTAGAACGAAAGCGGTATAGGATGAGTGATTGGTTGTATACCTTTAAAGTTTTTTCAAGGGCTCGAAAAGGAAGGCCCAAATCAAGAACTATAGTGGGAGACCATGCTGAAATTATATAAGTTGAGTAGATTTATCCACATTTGGTTTCTTACAGCCATCGTTAAGGGTGGGAACTTAGTACTGGGCAACATGGCTTTCTAGCAGTATCCCTTGGTGAAGTTCCTTAGCCTCTCCCTACCCTATTTTCTTCATCCATAAAATGAGGCTAATAGAGAACTAACCCAATGGGATTGTTCAGAAGATTGTGATTGATGTCAGCTGGGGAGGTTCCTCAGTGGAATAGTGTTTGTCTAGCATGTATAGAGGCTTGCATTTGATCCCCTGTCCTAAGATTGGTGCATGTATGGGACTTAGCCCTGGACCACAACACATGGTAAGCAGGGCGGACATTTCATTTGGGTGTCCCAGTATCCATCTCTGTGACTCCCGTGTCAGCTATAATTACCTGTCCACTACTATATATAGCTTTTGGAAATCTGAATCTTGGGAACCAAGCCAAGATAATAACCCATCATTCTGATCCTTCCAACTTACCATGGAAACCACTTCCTCTGGAGGCAGGAGATTGATAGACAAAAGTGCAAGGACATGTATTTCCCATACGGAAATGTCTCGCCCATGAATATTCCCTCCGGTGGATACTGAAGAGGGAGAAAGATAACCTAGCGGCTTTCTGGGTGAATTAATTAGCTTGCAACTGCAGTATTATGCACTGTCTCCTATTCCTAGCCCTTTGTGAGAAGCGCTGCAAGGGAAGCAAAGGGTTTCTGTCCTTTAATTGGATGAAAAGCTGAAGCTAGATAAGATGGAGTGTAATTTTTTATTATCTAAAACCTCAATAGAGAATTAATCTGGGAGGAGACTGGTATTTCAATAAAACGGAAATAAATGACCACTTTCAGTTCTCTTCCCTTGGAAGATGTACTTACAGTTGAAAAATGACTGGATTAATGGTTTCCCTTAATACACCACACGGCCACACCTGTAGGAAGACTCCTCGTCTCCATGCTACAGCCTCTTTGGGGGACACAACTCTGCATTCTGTGACCCCCGAACCCATTGTTTAAAATCTGAAGCCAAGCTGTGATGTGGACAGTTCCACTGCACGTGGGCTCTCCCTTGGGATCCAGTGACATATGTGAGCTGTGTGCTCCCAGGCTTGGGGCTTTTCATTTCCGTTTTTAAAATGATTCCCCTTTGAATGGCTTCAAATAGCAGCCACCTTTGGACCGGGCCTCGTCCTTTCTTTCTCTCCTTGTGAACGGAGTTTTCTCTTCTACACGATGATGTGCTTCACAAGGCCCGCCCCACTTTCTAGCTCTGTGAGCGGATGGCTGGGGGTGCTGTTTCCGTGCACTGACGACCTGTGATGAGGGCTTGTGATGCCATTCTGGCTGGTTAAATGTGGGGAGTCAATGGGGACATCTGGGAAAGCTGTCCGCACTCTTAATTAACACATAGGGAGGACATGGCATCTTCCTCTGCTGGGTGTGTTGCATTAGTGCTCTTCAGAGGGAAAGAATCTTGGGAACTTATTAGATAGGCTACAGGAGCAGAGGTGGGACAGTCCACCACGGAGTGACCATCTACACACTGGGCGATCAGAGGACCCCGCAGTTGCTTAGTTCAAAGAGCTGCAAGCTGCAGACCAAGAGGAATCGAGGATGCAGAACCAGCCTGAGACTGCAGGCCTGGAAGCTCCCTGGAGAATCACTCGTGTGAGTCCTCACGGAGAGGCGGAAGAAGCTGCAGCCTGGCGCTCACAGGCAACGGCCATAGCACAAGAGACACCAGCTCAACTGGAAACACAGGCCCACTTCTTCCCTTTCAGTCTACCTAACCTAAGCCAATATGGTGGTGCCACCCACAAGCTGGCCAGTCGCCCACCCTCCCTTCACTGGCTTACACCCACGGACACACCCAGAATCCCATAGGCATCTCTCAATCCAACGAAGTTGACAGTCACAGTTCAGAATCCCTTACGTTGATGCGTGCCCGTGAACTGGGGTTGGGGCAGTCACCTTACAGCTGGAAGTGTACCTAACCTTCAGCGTGGAAAGACAGGGTCTAACAACCCGGGCCTGGATAATGTCACTGAGGGTTGAGTTCAGTGGTCCTAAAAGAGAGGCACTCTTCCTTCAGGTTCTTTGGTAAATGAGAAAACAACATTTCCTATGATCTGACCTATTTCAAGTTTGGTTTTGGGTACTTACGGTAGCATCTCCTCAAAAGCCATCTACATGAAACCAACCCTTTGGATGGATTAAATTTTTGCAAGAGATTCCCAAGAAATGTGAGAAATTTCTTGAGGGCAACAAACGACTTTAGTACCTTGATTTTCATGGTGGTGTCCTCAACAGCAACATACGCCACAATTGGTCAAGCTGTACACTTCAATGTGTATCATTTACTGTCTGTTAAGAATAACTCAAATATGACTTTCTCTGGGCACAATGCGATAAATAATTATTTAAATTAACAATAAAAAGAACACTAGGAAAATCCACTTGGAAATTTAAAATTACTTCTAGAAACTCATGAGTCAAAGAAAAACTCAGGGTACAATTTAGAAATTCGTTAGACCTAAACAGCGGTAGCAACCTTACCCACACAGCCAAGTATTACTGAGTAAAGCTGCCGTCTTTAGTACTCCCACAGGAAAACAGGGTTGACATTAGCAATCCAAGCTGGGAGAGGGAATAAAGAAGAAATGGGGAAAACAGAAGAACAGAAATTAATGAAATAGAAAATATACATGTAACAGAAAAGGTCAACAAAGGAGTATCCTTTTTTTTTTTTGTCTTATTGAGACAGGGTCTCAATACATGGTCCAGGCTGGCTTGGAACTCACTTTGTAACCCAGGCTGGCCTTGAACTGGCATCGATCCTCCTGCCACAGCCTCCTGAGTGCTGAGATTACAAGTGTGCACCACCACACCCATCTTGAAATGACTAAACTTAAAACAGCCAAAGCCCATAAAAAATATCCAAAGCAATGATTTAAAGACAGCGGCCACCAGGGAAGAAGGGCGGTGATTCCTAGGCGGTGGAAAACACGAGCAGAACCTCGTGGGCGCCGCAGTGTGGAATCTCGCGCTTCTGGGCTCGGGGAGAGTCAGGTTGGGCGGGTGCCCAGCAGGCGCTGCTCCGCCCAAGCGGGAGTGCCGGGTCCAGGAAAAGCCCAGTCCCTGCTGCACAGGGGACGCAGGACGCGCGCTCCCCCAGGGGGAAAGGGACGTGTGGCGTTGGGAAGGGAAACAGGAGACCATTGTCCCAGGCTGTCATCTGCTCTTTGGACCACTTTATCTCTCCTAAAACTCACTTACCCTTCCTCTCGTGTTGGTTCCATCCCCTGCTTTTCGCTCCCTTTGGAAGAGGGTATTTAAGTTTTAAACATTTGGCCCTTTGTATTAGTGCACTTTCTGCTAAGTGCAGTAAAACTCCTGATTCTGAGGACTTTGAAAAGAAAAGAGGTTCATTCAGCTCGCAGTTCTGGAGGTTCGAGGGCGCGGGGCCAGCGTGGGCTCTGCTGTGCTGGGCGACGTCACGGCAGAAGCGTGTGCAAAGAGGGAGGGTGCAGGGTGAGACCTGGAGCTGGAGAGCTGGAGAGACAAGGGAGGAGCCCGGCTTGGGCTTTTATGGTAACTCTGGGGCGCTGACCCGCGCCCCGAGAACTACTGATTCCTGCAAGGAGAGGGGGCGCCCTCCTAACCTACTCCTGTCCCACCAACCCCTCCTCTTAGGGGTTCTATGAGCTCCCACTTTGCCGCACTACCCACCAAGCCCCCAGCACACGAAACTCTGGGAGACGAACTCAAATCATGCCCAAATCATGTACCCTTTTGTTTGAAGGGACCAGGAACAAAGCTGCCTCAGCCACCTCGGGAAACTCACCATTCACCAGCGGGAGCCCCGGACTAGGGAGGGGCAGGAGAAGCGGGCGCAGGTGGTGGGTGTGGGGCTCAGACCTGGGGAGCCGGACGCTTGCAGGGTACTCAGTTTACCTGTCAGGTATATCTCAATCTGTTAAAAATTAACAAGTAGCAAAAACTAAATCAAAAACGTTAAAAAGGAAAACTTTAAAATGCTTCCTTATTTGAACAATTTCATACACAGAATGGACTGAAGAAAGAGGAAAGGCGAACTGTCCTGTATCTATGAAAAATTAGGGCAGAATTTTAAAACTATTCCCAAAAGAGTACTGTCCCTAGAAAAATGTTCATGCTATTTTAGCAAATATTTAAATGGAATCGATTAAAAAATAAGCTAGGAGTAAATCCATATGTTCAATACCCACTAAAAATGTAAAATACGCTAAACTCAACACTTAAGAGCCAGGTGTGGTGGTGCACGCCTGTAATCCCAGCACTTGGGCGGCTGAGACCAGCCCGGGTTACACAGTTAATTCAAGGCTGATCTGAACTACATAGTGAGACCCTGGTGCAAAACAAAATAACAAAAATAAAAAACAAATAGAGAAAAAAACCCAACCCTAACTAGAAGAGTTAGCATAATTATCTCAATAACTGGTAAAGCAGACAAAATTTGAATCCTGACACAAATATTTCCAGAGAATAAAAAGACGGCTCAGACTCCACAACCCATTGTATGAGGTTAAAAGACTTTAATACCAAATGCAGTACAAAAAAGTAAACATCAATTTCACCCATGGAAATAAAGTAAAATAATAACCAATAAAACATTTTCCAGTGTATAAAAAAGACATGTTGTGACTAGTTATGTTTCTTCTCAGAAATATAAGATTGGTTTAGCATTAAAAATACATCAGTTTACTACCTTAACAAATTAGAAGGGAAAACTATTATCTTGATAGGTGGAGAAAAAAATTAATGAAATTCAACATTGTATTCCAAAAACTATTAGGAATCTATGGCTCTAGAGAACTTGCTCAATCTGATAAAAAGCTTCTAGCGATCTTTAGCAGATCCTCCATTTAATGGTAAAGTGTTGAAAGCACTTCCTGTAAGATCAGAGATAAGACAAAGGTAGCACCGTGACTTTTGTTATAGTCTCTATTTTATGACAAGAATGTTCAGTATCATCTGCCTTGGACCAGGGGACCACAGTCACGCAGCCTGGGCCCTAAGATGGTACACTGCCGTTCCACAGGCCCTGCCCCCCAACACGCACCGAGGCACAGGACGGAGCCGGGGCCACCTCCGAAAAGCACGTACGTGGCACTCGGCTGTGTGGGGTGAGAGGCTCTGGCAGATGCACGTCCACGCAGAAGCCAGTGGCAAAGGGAAAATGCATGATTATTTAGCGCAGTGTATTTTTTCCACTCGTGTCTTAAGATGCGGCTCAGGTTCCGCACCTTTCGGGAGTCCTCTCTGACCGCCCCGACCAGGTGAGATGTGGCACTCCAAGGCCTCCTCAGTCCCTGTGCTCTTCTCCTCCGCTGTCCTTACCCGAGTTAGCCGGGGCCCCCTGCTCGCCCAGCAGACTCTGCGTCTGTCATCTCATCTCATCATCTCGGCTGGCACACGGGGCTCACCGAGTGCTTGCTGAGTGGATGAGTGAAGGGGTAGCGAGGGAACAAGGGAATAGGAAACCGGTCTATCTGGAGCCAAGAAGTAGCAGGCAGAGATGAAAACGGAGAGAGCTGAAGGAATAAAACAGGAAATCCAGATCTCCCTCCCGTTAACATCCGGTCATAAAAGATGACGCACTGTACAATGATACACACACGAAATGTTCAGACTAGGCACAGAATAGATCAGTGGAGGCCCAGGACTGAGGTAGGGGTGGACCGGGGAGGTCTTTGCTAATGGAGACAGGGTTTCTTTTGGAGGTGATGGAGTTTTTTTAAAAGTTTATTAGTACATGCTTGTAGTACATGATTACATTCCTTGTGGGGAGTTGGTACGTGTATGTGGCACATTTTAATTCTCTTTTACTTCGCCTCTTCTCCGCGCTCCCTCCATCTCTTGGTCTGCTTCCCATCTGCAGAAGATCTACCTCTGTTTCCTATGTTTTAAAGTTAGATCATGCTCACAATTGTACAGCTCTATGTCTATGCTGAAAACTATGGACTTACACACTTTAAAACGAAGGGGAATTGCAGGGCATGTGACTTGTGATACATTCTTTTTTTCCTTTTTTGTACTGCGAATCGAACTCAGGACCTTGTGCTTGCCAGGCAGGCATTTGCACCTCTGAGCTATATCCTTGGCCCTAGGGCATATGACTTGTATCTCAAGGTGATTTTTAAGAAAGATCACCATAGCATCATAGATACCTCTTCTAGGGAACCAAATAAATCGTGATGACAGTTACCACTAACGGGAATAAAGACCGAGACAGATTTGGAAGGGAAGCTGCTGACCTCGGGTTAGACAGGCGGGACAGTCACTGAAGGGCGGAAGAGAACAGACTTCCCCGCGATGAAGGTGAGACACCGAATTACAGAATCATGGTTGCATCCACGAGCCACAGTATCCTGGAATTTTATATTAAAATAGACTGGGCGCCTAAATTTTTAAAAAGTGAGATAAAATTTTCCTCTGCTTGCCATTTTCTTGTTTAAAAGGTGTTTCATTAATTTATCACAACTATTATTCAATGGAATGCTCGCTTTAAGTTGTCATTATCAGATTCTAAAAGAATCCCAAGGTTGAACTATCTTTAAAACCTTTACCTGGACGTGGGTGGGAGGAAGTTATTTTGATACCGGTGGGGAGGTTAGCTGCGCCCTCCGTGACTGGCTGCTTCTGCCGGGTTCTGAAAGCCCGGCCCATTCCAGGGGCAATGAGGGCCGGGCGGGGGGCATATGCACTCAGGACCGTGAAAGAGGTCGTGAAACCCCAGGCTCACACTGACGCGACAGCGGAGGCCCCTCCCTCCCTCACCTGAAGCTCTGGTAATTTTGTTGGTTAAGGCTTCACATTGACTTCTCCCACGGAGGCTGCCCGCGGCTTCTCTAGCAAATTGGCATCCTACGGAGAGCCAGGTACTTTGAAGATTTCTAATTAGGAGAAGCTAAAGGTTACATAAGCTCAGCTGTCAAATTGACTGCCTGACCTTAAAAGCAAACAAAGGCTACTTCCCTCTCCTCCTCCTCTCTTCTTCACCCAAGACCTCAATTAGATATAAAATTTTAAATGCAAGCATAAAGTTGTGTGGCAGCTCGGGTCTGAGGAAACGGTGAGCGAGCTGTCCGTGATCAATGAACAGACCCAGATGACTTCCATCTCTACTTCTGAGCATTCGTAGCCCATCGCTTCCGCATTTGGCCTCAGTTTCAACTGGCGCAGAGAGGACGGAAGCACGCGGTAAATCATTGCACCCACAGAACTTTGTCTCTGAAGCATATTCGCTACATTTTTAAAAACAAGATCATTTCAGTCTTGAGTTCCAGATTGTATTGCCCATGCAAAAATCCAAACAGACCACGGTAGCTACAGCCCACTTTGGAATGTGGTATTTAAAAAAATTTTTAATGTTTTTGGGTGTTTTTTTTTTTTTTTTTAAAGAAGGTTTTGTTGTGCAGTTCAGGGTGGCCTTGAACTCACAGCAATCCTCTTGCCTCAGCCTCCCAAGTGCTGGGATTACGTGCGTGCGCCACCACACCCAGCTGTAATGTGTTCTTGTTGCCAAAAATAAATGAATAAATTAAAAACCCTAGTGATCACCTAGCTGATAAATTATTTCACTGATTGTGGTTTAGAAAATATTTCTAATGCAACTGTGACCTGTCTTTACCTGTACAAGCAATTGTGCTCACACACATAGCTATGCACAAATTACCGTGGATCCAAATCCCATTGTCTGTCAATAGCAGCCCTTTCCTCCAAAGTGACCCTAGCTGCTTCTGGCGGTCCCGAGCAGGTGCTTTCAGTGCACCCACAAAGCCGTCGTGCAGCTTCCATCACTCCATGGATCTCTTGTCCGCTTGGTGTACTGAGCACCCGCCGCCTGCTGCGCAGGGCCACGGCTGGGTCCTACAGGACTCTGCCACAGCGCTTTTCCTCACCTGCGCTAGTTCTCCCGTGTCAACTCTGACAGCTGACAAGTAACTGAAAAGTCTTTTCCCACCTCTGCTAGAGGAGTCCACTGTGAAACACTCAACCGAGAATGTGCTGAGAGTACCGTCTCCTAAGGTCCCTATGGCTTCTTCTTTTTTTTTTTTTATGGTACCAGGAATCGAACTCAGGACCTTGTGCTGGCCAGGCATGTTTGTGCTGCAGAGCTGTATCCATGGCCTGTGGCTTCTGACTTCAGGCACCAGAACAAAGCTTCGTTCCATCTGGAGATGGGGACAAGGCCCTTCTCAGCTCTGTGCTGCTCGTGGACATCTAGGCCCTGAAGCAATGCGTTTTATTGTGGTAAAAGATATGTTGTCATTAGCCCCATTGAAATACAGCCCCTTGCTTTGAACACACGATCCTATCCTTCTTGCCACTTTCTGAAAAAGTTCTGGAAGTCCTCTTTCACCAATGTCTTTTAAAAATGTGATCAAAAATACAGTGAATGCTGTCTTCAAGTGCTCTCCAATGGAAAGGCAGGCTCATAGAAACACGGTGCTGTGGCCTCATCCATCTTATTCACCAGACCTGGCATTGTGTGACTTCTGGTCTTCCTCAAAGACAAAAGGACCATGAAAGGGAAATGTGCTGAACTGATTCAAGACATAGCCACAACAGTGCAGCTAAACACACTTAGGAAAGAGGACTTCCTGAAATGCTTCAGAAAGCGCCAAGAACAATGGCATAAGTGTGTCTGAAATAAGAGGGATGATGGCAATGTGTCTTTTACTGTAATACACTTCTAAAAACATTTAAACACCCTGGTTTTTGATCACACTTTGTGAAATGAAACCACCTGCAGATTCTGCTCAGGGCTAGGGAATAGCTGTGATAATTTATGCATAGCTATAATGTGTGACCACATTTGTTTGCTTCTACAGGCAAAGACGGGTGACAGTTGGGTCAGAAATATTCTCTAAAGCACAATTAGTTGAAATAGAAGCAGTTCAGTGAACTTTGGCCACTCTTCAGCCTTCTCAAGCACAGGCTGGTGTGGCAGATGTTGGTGCAAGTTTCTTTAATTATTTGGAGACAGTTATGAATAGCAAGGAGCATGAAGTGTAGTACTGAGTGTAGCACTGAGACCAAAGTGGCAAACAATTCTTACAGACACTGAAAAAAGTTTAGTGTGGTTACCTCTAAACTTAGGAAATTTACTAGGCAAAAATACACAACATGTCAGGAAAAAGATTCAACTCTGTAAGATGGAGAAGTCATGTTTGTCTTAGTCACTTTCTTTGTTCTGAGAAAAAACTGACACCCACAAGTCACAAGAGGAGAGGTGTGTTCTAGCTCACAGTTTTTAGCAGTTCCAAAGCAGGAAGGCGTGCTGGAAGGGTCTGTCGGAGGAAAGCTGCCCCTGTCACAGTGGGCAGGAAGTAGAGTAGGGAGGGAGGAGCTGGGGAGGCAGAGGAACCCCTCTGGGTCACATCCCCAGTGGCCAGCAAGTCAGCTATAGCAGCCCCAGAATCCAGTCATCTTCCAAACGCCTGAGGCAGCCAGGGCTCGTTTTAGATCTAAGCCATAATATCAGGGAAGAACACACAGCAACGTCCCAGGGCAAACCCAACCAAACCAACCCACCCAACCCAACCAAACCAACCAAACCAACCAAACCAACCAAACCAACCAA